TTGACTACATATGTGCATACTTCCGTAAGCCAAAATGGGGAAACTTCTGTGTCAATTCCTGTGCCATTCTCTTATCCCCCGAATTTCAATATCAATCGCTCTCATTTGTCGACAACCAAAGTCAAGGCATGTCATTTTAAATTTTGATATGGTGAAATTTGAATTTCAGATATATTTTGGAGTTCGCATTGCTAAATTCCCACTAAAATCATGTGCATATTCACCAAAATTTGACATTTATTTCCGGAAACAGGATACTTCCACCACTCAAAACATCCTCGCAGCACAAAATGTGCCGATCCCGATTGGAAATGAGTGCCCGAAACCCATAATAATCTTTTGTTGCTGTGTGCAAAATTTTAGGAAAATTCGTCATAAATTATAGCGCAGAAATAATTAGAGATAGCAAATCACTGGTGAAAATTCTGCTCAGGGGGGGATGAAAAGCAATTTGATGTGATTGAAAAGGACAGAAAATAAACCCTACACAGGTTGCGATGAATTTATTGCAAGTGCCAATGCAGATTTGCACGCTGCCGTGAGCAAAATATACCGTGTGCACATCTAAATGGTGTATATTTTTGCTCATTATAAATTTTGAAATTGCTTTCTGATGCATAATGGAAATATCGCTGTGACATTTGCTATCGAATGCATGGATTAAAACCGCATCTATTGAACATGGAGAGTTTACTGCGAAATTGTGCACAAATATATGAGGATTTGCGGTGTTTAGCAATGCAGTTGAAGCCTTAAAATGGAATATAAAAAATCAACAGATTTATTGAAGCGCATCTTTAACTCATTAAAGGGTAAATAATAATGCAATATATGAGTTTTTCATGCCATTTTTCGTGCTTGAATTATTTTTGTCGAAATATCTAAAAAAAAAAGAATTATATTTAAATATTTTTAGAATATTGCATTAAAATTTAAATTTAAATAGCAATAAAAGTCACATAATTTGCCACAAGCTGGATTCGAACGCCTAAAATTAGAACGAAATACAATTGGAACTCTAACATGCTTTTGAAGTTTAATTTGCTGTCCTCTGGCGGCAATATATGGAGAATATAATCAAGAAATTCATACGATAATCAAATATTTTAACATTCTCGCCTGACTTTAACGTGTTGATCATTTTCGTACAGAGGGCTGAGTCTTGAAATTCGTCAAAATCAGAATCAGTGGAAATTGATTGATTTTGAGAAATTTGCGAGTCTTGAGTAAAAATCAGTCAGAAACCGAGTCAAAATTGGCTCAAAATCAATCAACTCGTGTTGACATGAGATCATCGAGTCAACACGATTGCTTAATGTCTCAATTTTAAGATTTAACTTCAATTAGAGTATCAAATGGCCATCGATGGCATCGGAAATGGATAATAGAATAATTATTTTAATTGTTTTTAATTTTATATTGATAATTTTCCTTATTACAGCCGAGATATAAACATCTCTTTTCTTGCGCTCGCGTAAGAGGCTCAGAGACGGAAAATAATTTCTTTCCATGCGCGCTACCTAGTCCCTGAGAGTCCTTTGCAGTGTCGAGGCAACGATAATCCAAATTTTATTATGTCATACATAATCCTTGCCATAAACATTTTCAGTTTTGAAGGTATCTTTAATTGAATGGAATTCCCAAATTCTTCGCTCTTTGCTTAGTGCTTAAGTCTCATGAATTATGAATCAATGAACTGAACATGTGGTCAGATAGTACAAAAAAAATGGATGGAGAAATTTTTGCAAAGGGGAGGAAGTCGATCCCCATCTCGTGGGGCACCTCAAGATCACTCGCAGAAGTCTCATTCTGCTCCTGGAACTTCTCGTATAACCGCAGGAGAACATCTGTACGTTAATAATGCACATTATTCACATATTTGTCGCCTGAGGGTGTAATTTTTAGCCTTCTTAAGGCGTGGGCAGACACCCCAGGATAATTCCTTGGGGTAAACGTTAGGCTTGTGGAGCATTTTTATCATTTTCTGCCTCAAACACCTCAACTTGGCTCAAATCAAAACAACAAAATGACGTTTCTGCCTGCGTTTCGAAAGCATTTCCCCTCCCGAAAAATTCCGAAGGCTGATTTTGACTCAAGACTCACGAAACTTTCAAAATTGTGATCATGTCAACAAGTTAAAAATCGATGAGGTTCTGTTGATTCTGATTTTGACCATTTTCAAGACTCAGCCCTCAGTTTTATTTGGGAAATTATCGCGGAAAAGCATCTCTAATAAGGTTAATTAATTCCCAATCTAAGGTCAATTACTTGTCACTCAGATTGCATGTGTTTCGTGTGTTATCTACAGCCGCATTCTGCAGAATTGTTTGTGTGTTGTGTGTGGAATTAACAAATGTGTAATTTGAATAGAGACTGACTGGAGCATGACTCTGTGAGATATTTTGTGGATGAATTGACGAGAATTGTCAAATGAGATTATATCATCTCACAAAGGCATTTCCAATACATTATTCAAAACACACAACAAACAATGTGCATCGAGCGCTGGAAACTTGGAGCATATAATGCTGGAGAATATATGTTTGAATAGAATTTTTCTGTAAGCTGAGGCGAATTTGCATGTTTATCAGTGTTGCATAAATGCGCAGTTGAGCATGTGAGAGAAAGAGGAAGTTTGAGGCAACAATTTGCAAATGCATGGCATCAAAGTGCCTTTTTCCGTGAAGGAAGTTATGGTCAACTTCTCTAAAGTGTGTGTGTGCGAAGAAAGTGTCCTTGTTAGATGGCGGAACAGTAGACAGGATAATATGTTCAAAGCCCGAAAGCCGATTTGGTGTGACGCTTCCAGTTTGGCTGGATGAGTTTTCTCCGTCTGGGAAGAAAATATATATAGAGAAATCGCTAAAGCCACAAAGCTAACTTTCTTTTCCACTTTGATTCCTAATACCGTCGCACCCAGAATTCACTGAATGTCCGTCGAGGAGTTTCCTTGCCTTTGAGGGGGTTGTTAATATTGACTTTGAGTCCGTTTTCGACTGCATCGCGATTTGTTTCGTGGTTTCGCAGAAAGTTTCTTTCCAAATTCAAACATCTTAGAAAAAAGGATGACAAAATATGTTTTTTTCATCATTTTTCTATTGAAGATACAAATTAGAGCATTAAGAGAATATTTAAGATCAGTTTGAAGTTCATTTTTAGACATCATTTGAACGTGAATAAGAATTTAGTAAAGGAAATACATTCTAAGCGTTTAAAGGGTAAAAACTTAAAGTAAAAAATCTAAAACTGTGTTAAATACAATAAATACAAGAAGATTTTGCAAGGAAAACGTATTTTTCGGGTGTAAAAATAATATTGTAGTAAATTTTAAAAAGAACTTATTAATACTGAACGATTAAAGGGTTCTTAACGGTTTTAGCATTTTTACAGATTCTCGTTTTTCAGAAAATTAGGAAGTTTTCCCAATGTCAGAAACATTTTTAACGTAAAACCGTAAATATCCGATTGAAGATTAAGTATTTGAGGAAATTTGTCAATTCATTGCGGTATTTTCAAGCTGTTCAGCTGAGAAATTCATCTTCTGCTCATTCAAAATAGCGTACAATGATTTTATAAATAAATTTTGGAAAAATAACAAGACACAATATCTTGTTATCTTGACACTGCATCCCCAATATTAGCAACCCCTTGTCCCTTGCCCACCACCGTCTCGCCATGTCTTCTCCTCTCATTGGGGGATTTGGCACACATTGCACACTGAGCAAGTTTTCGGACTTGGTCACTCCGCTTTTTTCAGCACAGTTTCTCCCAACATTCGTCCAGAATTCTGTAACATCACTTGAGCTCCGTCTGCAATTGACCAACTTTAAATTTCAAACACTGTGAGGTGTTCTTTCCAGCGCTCTGCAAACTCTCGTTACAGAATTCACTGGCAATTACGTGAATGTCACTCAAATGAGGGAAACTACCTCGTCCAAGTTACACCACTTGTGCAAAGTGTGGACATGGATGATCATCTATACATCCTTGCGGCAACTTTTCCCACACGTTCCACACTTTTCCCGGCTGTGGGTGGAGGTGGAGGGGAAAGGGTGTGCGCTTTGGCCCCAAAAAATGTCAAAATAAATTAAATTTCCCAATTAGTTCCATTGCTGAAAATTCAGCAGACAGTTTTGGGGATGGAATACTTCTTCACTCCCGGGTTTTAATACATAAGGTGAATTCTCCATTTAATTATACATTTCCACCGTGGGGCTCTCTATTCACTTTATGCAGAATTAATGTCTATTGTCAGACAGAGATTGCCACTGGGTTAAGCATTGTCCACATAGTGTCAATTAGAAGCTTTGCCTTTGAGAAGCAGCTTGAATTTGAAATTCTATAGCATTTTGGGGGTGATATTGAATTACAAATGAGCTTACAATTCTGGAGGAAATTTGATTTTTGCCATGGAAAGATGCTTTAAAATCACAATTCAAGCTAAAATGATGTTTTGTCAATTGAAGCGTGGGTATTTTCGATTTCGTCGAATCAATTAGCTGGATGAGAAGTCAAAAAAGAAAGATAAATATTGATCTGAATGATTCACTTAATTGCACTGCGATAGTAATTAATTTCCCTCAAACATTGATAGAGTCTTAATGGACTGTTGACAGACTTTCCCGACCATACTTTTCCGGGGGGTTTTTGGGGGGAGTGGGGAAGGGGTGAAGGAGATTGAAAATCCATAAATATATTTCCCTCTTTTGCCCTTCAATTTTGACACGTTTCGTGTGAAAGTGGCACTCAAGTGGAAATCACCGCGAAGAAAGAGCTGACTTTCTCGATCCCTTCTCAAATGATTTGCCAGCTCGAGTGGGGGAGGGGGTGGGGGGATATGAAAAATCAGTTAAGGGAAGTGCATCAAATGAAACTCTCTGCCATTGAATTCACTCCACTGATTAATGGTTGAAATTGTATGAAATAAAATGTGCGCGAAGGGGTGAACAAAGGTGGGTTGGCTTCAGGTGGGGGTGGTTTAGGATCCAATTGCCACTCACCAGTGGATTTCTTCTGTTCTGTCGCCCTGGCGTAGCTGAGAAATGCAGCCAGAAAGAAGACTGATGATAGAGTTTCGGCTCTGCCAACAACACCTGTGACCTGCAGAAAGAGAAGAGGAAAAACACCATAAAGTGAGAGAAATATTTTATTATTTGACATAACATTGGAACGGTTCATATTTTTTGATATTTCACTTCAGGGTGAACGAGTGAGTCTCGAACCTCAATGTGCCAAAATGTGTGTATTTTTGTACTCTCTCTGGGTTTTCGCCATGGCCAGAAAATGTGAATTTGATGGGTGAGTGTGTGTGTGTGTGGAGGAAAATTGGAAATAAAATATCTTCTTAAGTGAAAAATCGCACATATTTTTCAATTTTATTGCACAAAAAGCAGCAGTGGCTGCGAGAGGAGTTTCCCCGAAAATGCCATGAGACAGTCTTTGGCGGATGGAAGCAATAGATGGGATTTCTCTTGCCATGCAATAAATTTGTCTCTGACTGCAGACTGTTTGCCATATGAGTGTTCGCTGTTGGAAATCCATTTAAGCGCTTTCCATTGCTTTCACAACCCCTCAAAAAGAAAAACGCAATTTAAGTGGGATAATTTTTAAAGATATTTACAAAAGGAGGAAAGTCACTCGCGATTTCAGACCACTAACTTTATTTATGTTCAGTCATTTTTTGATCACATATTGCCACTAGAAGACAGCAGTTTAAAAGCATGTAGAAGTTCCGATTGTATTACCTAATAGCAAATTAGACTTTAGGTGCTTGAATTCAGGCATGTGGCAATTTTTTGTGACTTCTATTTCAATTTTTTGCCGTTTTTGGCTAATGTGTGGAGAAATTTATACAAATTTTATACAATATTTAAAGAAATACAATCTGAACTTCTACATGTCTTTCAAACTTGGTCAGCTGATCATCTGTTGATAAAACCGGGCTTTTTCTACGCGAATATCTCAATTTTCGCGCTCAAATTTCCTTCTCTCCTGGCCAGGATCACGCCAGAAAGTCATAAAGTGTGAAAATGCATGAGAAAAGAGAGAAAATTAAGCGAAAAATGCGGTATGAGTAGCATCTGCTGCCCTCTGGCGATAATATAAGTAAAAATCAATTTTTTTTAGACCATTTTTGAGATTCCTCAAAAACCAGTTGCTATATTAAATGCCCTTGTCTGTGTGTTGTGAGTAATTTAGGGAGGGAAAATGAAGAAAAAACTGATGAGGTTCTAAAAGTGCCATAAGTTTTCCTCAACCATGATGCGCAATTAATACCAGTATTATATGACGCATGCAAAGTAATTTACAGACACTCAGTCTCATTGATATTTGTGTGGTGAATTTGCCAGGATAAATAGTGGCTGGAAGAGCCCCAGGAGGAAATGAGAAAGTCTCTGAGATAGTAAATAAGAGTGTCTCGTGAAAGTGAAATATTGCTGGGGAGAAAATAAACTTCCTCGGGTATGTCTTAATATTGAGCATTCTTTCATATATGAAAACTTTCCTCAAAAATACACCACAGGGACAGTGCGGAGATGAAGGATCCTCGGCAATTTCATCCTCATTTCTCTGTCGTTTGGCCAACGCAAGAGCGCCAGTGTGTGTGTTGTGGAACAGTAAATAATTTTTCCACACAAATTCCTGTGTGCGAAAGCTTTGGGAATTTCGTAATTTTGTGTGTGTGGATTTTAGTGTCAAACTTTCTCTCTCTCCCCCCCCAACTTGCCAATTTTGTTAACCCAAGCACCTTTTTCCGCATCGTCCTATTTGTCCAAGCTTTTATTATCTTCCAGCACCACTTCCACGTGCACACAAACATTCACTCAAGATGATACTTTGGGTAATAAAAAAAAACTTTGACGCCTATAATTCATCCCTTTCCCCTCGTCCACGAGTCCTGTTGCTCATCCCCATTAATGCCGTCGAGATATTGGCAGTGACGATGCGCTTCAGCCCTTGCAAAAACACACCCTCGCCGCCTGTCGACGGGGCAAACATGGAAAGCAACTCACCGGATAAGGGTGAAAGTAATCACACAGAATAAGACACACATAAATAACCCAGTGAAAACACTGAATTCTGCTGGGAATTGATTTCCATACTTTTTTGACGGCAGTCTTCAATCACTGAAATTACGCACGAGGGACATATTGGTTTTTCTCATTCACATAAAACACACTTTTTTCCGAATACCACTCGATATTTCATCAGGATAATGGATTTTTACTCTGCGGAGTAATGTTTAAAAACACCACAACTGAACTCAGAGATCCCTTAATCCCCTTAAACATCTCCAAAGGGAGGGAGAAATCCTTCAAATGCATGTAATGCACGCATATGTCACATTATATATTTCCTTCTCTTCGTGAAAGGTATTATAAATGACTTTTCCGTCCTTCCAGCCGAATCCGGTCGACTGTGAAGTTCTCCATGAATCTTTTTTTCAGTCCCTCCACAGCTGGAGATCTGGCAAAAAGCTCCCTTCACCCCCGCCCAAGAAAATGCGAACCACTTGAAAATATTTCCCTCTGATAGCGTCGACGAGATAAGGGCGAGTGTAGAGTGTACAAGGACTGTGGCTGCGTGCACTGGGAAGTTCTCAGTGTCCGTGGAACGTGAGAAAGTTTCCTTTTTCTCCCTCCGCCGACAGCAAATAGAGAAATCGATATTAATGCTAATGTAAGGGACGAGGGCGGAAAAAAGGTGAGGGTGGCGGAGAATTCGCCTTTTTAAACTCTTTGCAGATATAAATTGGAACGTGTCTGAGAGGCAATTTTGGCTGGGCTGTTCACGCCATATATGGAAATTTTATGTCATTTTTAATACATACAGAGCCGTTCGTTTTTGGGGGAAAAGCCATATATAATATGCTCACATATACTTTTCGCATGTGAAATATGAGTAACACATAATTCAATGATTATGAAAAGCATTCATTTCTCTCTTGTATTTGTTCGTTTGTCGGGAAATTAAATTGATTTCCAGGAAACATTTTAACGCAGATAGACTGAAAATGTTGGAAATTTGCAGCAAAAGCAAGAAATCAAGGGGAAGATAATGTGGTTAATATCTGTTCACCACTTCTGACTTCGGACTTCGTTGTTTGTTCATAACAAGACGAAAATCAAGTAATAACTGGAATCTAACTACAATATAACCGAAAAATAACCGAAAACTAACTGAAAACCTAACTACAACTTTAAAACTTATGTTTCCAATTCTTTAGTTAAGTTTCTTTTCGATTACGATTTACGATTTACGAAAATTACGATTTTTATTGAGTAAAAGTACGCAATTCTATCAATAAAGTAAAAAAATACTTTCAATTTAGGTGAGAGAATTTCTGCTTTAAGAAGCTATTTAATCTTAAATTAGTCACATAACCTAGAAAAATAGATCAAAATTGGGATTTGGATGGGATTTAATTTCTGAGAGTAAAATAATCAGACTTCTACTGATCTGTACACCACTTCTGACCATACTATCTGCCCCTTGCAAGAAATAGAAGTTAAATGAAAGATGTCAGACTGGATCTTTCGCTGTTGATCCATTTGGTCAACGTGCTTCAAAGTTTGTCGGGAATCTTAAACGAGTTTTATACACGAGTTACTAACTATGTCAATTTCTGCCACCCATCAACCTTCTGTAACCGAAATTACTCTGCAGTAATGGCAATTAGTATTCAATTTCTTGGCATGCGCTGAGAAGTTCGGGCTGAGCATGGAATTTAGTGCTGTGCGACGGTGTCATGTCGTAAAATGCTTGGCTATCGGGGTGTGTTTGCCTGTGTGTATGGTAATTGGATGGTGAAAAACAAGAGACGATAGCAAAATGACACCAAAAACCATTATTTCATGTGTTTATATCAACTCCAGGATATGGAATGATTTTCCCCCTATAAAGCGTGATGCGGAGCTAATTGAAATGCATTCATGTCTAGTCTGTTGACTCCTTTGAAGGTCCAGAACCCACCCAGGCTAAGTTCATGTCAGTACGTCTCTTGTTTTCAGCGCCAACACACACACACAATGGCATTCAAGCCACAGACACATAATTTATTGTGAATTTGCATTTCATTGAAGCCAGAAATGTGTTATTTAACCCAATAGCTTAACCATAGCATAAACATGTTTTTGGTCTTGCATTTTGACACGCTTTTCAAAATGGCACATCAGAGCGCTATATCATGGCGATTTTGGGTGATTTCGCGTGCATTTCGTGTCATTTATATCACGCATCGGATGACAAAGCGTCGCTCTTTCGACCATTGAAGCAAATATATGTAATTGTCCTGTCGCAAAACATTTTGCCAACTTTTGCAATCTGGAGCGCGAATTCCATCACAACTCAATCGACTTCTTGCAAATCAAGCATTTTTCCTGTGAATTTACGCCATTAAGTTGCGAACTGTCCACGTGAACTTGTCGAAACTATGCAATGTTTCGAGCATTTTCTCTGAGAGCATTAAAGGAATCTTCCGTCCGAATATCAAGCAATTGAGAATTAAGCTCTTTGTCCGCATGAAACTATATTGCACTTCAATTTGGGACTCACCACTGCACACACACAGGACAAAAGGGGATGAAGTGTGTCCTGCACAAAGGGAGGAAACTACCCTTGCAGCCGCTTAATTCAAATAAACATTTAATAATTCTCCTTGCCGATGCAGAGGGTGGTTCTCGCGAGGGTTTCGCCCAGCGGGAAGGTCGAAATGAAACTGTGTGTATTTACAATCGCATATGGCGAATGAACGCACGGCTGTGCAAGTGAAATTGACTTTTCTTGTTTGCGGCAGGTCATGAAGAGTTTTTTTTCCCCGATTGCCAATTGCATCATGTTTTCTCTCTGACGACGCGATATTGAGGACATTTCAAATACTGTCTAAATTGTCGATTTCGATAGATTGCAGTATTATTAAATATTCCCAAATCAAAAATTTCATCCAATAATTTAATTTTTTTTTGCACAAACAAAAGAAGATTCTCCTTCGATCTTTGCTGAGTGGAAAGAAAACCCATGAAATTCACCGTAGAATCGACTTTCAATTGCAAAAAAATTTCCTGTGAATGCTCAAAAGTGAGGAAAAAGCGAAGATTTCC